AGACACGCAACAACATGGGCAGCCCCCGAACTTCAAGGCAAAAAACAGGGACTACACAAGTCAGACACTGGAATAAGGAAGATATGGCACTTCCCACAACAGCTTCTTTATTTGTTAGGTTACTCGGGGGAAAGAAAGATCAGTAACCACAGAATAGATGTTCCAGTCTCTGCTTTTCACAAAGTCAGGGTATTTTTGTGACTCTTATTCCAACATCTGGGGGATAAGGATGCATGGCATCTCCTTGTGATAAAGTGGAAGAAGAGGGCGACAATGGGGAGTAACCCCTACGCTGGGGGTACCCCCAACCCCAAAGCAGCCCTGCATTAAACACGTTAAATCTTGATCGTCTACGGCTTTGAACAAAGAGTGGAACCAAACAGCTCTCTAGAGCAGGGATTCCCATCAGGGTGCTTGTAGCCCCGGGATCGAGTGCCCTGAAAACCGGACCCCAGTCCACGCCGCTCCGACCCCGCGTCCACGCAGAGCCGACCCCGCGCGCACAGAGAGACCTACCTTCCAGCACCGGGTTGGACTGTAAAAGCTGCTCCTTGACTTGGTTGACTTCCGCCCCTTTCCCACACACGGCCGCCACGTAGGACATGACAAGTTTGCTGGCCTCTGCAGGTGAAAAGAAGCCATGTTAACAAATTAGGCTGAAATTTAAAAAAAAAACATTTAGAGGGAAGAAAGTGGGAAGACAAAACCCACCAATAGTGTTTCAAATGCCTCTATACCAGGGAGTACATAATGCCTTGGAAATCTATACTAATAACAGCCTAGGTCTGTGGTCGGCAAACCAGGGCTCAAGAGCCACATGCGGCTCTTTGGCCCCTTCAGTGTGGCTCTTCCACAAAATACCACGTGCGTGCGCACGTACAGTGCGACTGAAAATTCGTGGCCCATGCACAGAAGTCGGTATTTTGTGGAAGAGCCACACTCACGGGGCCAAAGAGCCCCATGTGGCGCGCGAGCCGCGGTTTGCCGAGCCACAATTTGCCGACCACTGGCCTAGGTGGTTGTCACACCCTGACGCGGTGATGCCCTCACGCCGTCACAAGATGGCTGTGCGCACAGTGGAGGTGGGGCCCGGCGGCCACTCCGCACGGCAATGTCTGGGGGTCCCAAGGCTCCGTGCAGCACGGGGGAGGCCGGTCCCGATGTCTCGCCGCCTCACGTGGAGGAGGGACCCCCCTGCTCCGGCCTACCTCTTTGGGGCCATTGATCGCGGGGCTCCCACACCGTGAGGAGGGCACAGGCCAGGCTGGGGGACCTCCCTGCCCCCGAGTGCACGAATTTCGTGTACCGGGCCTCTAGTCTTTTAAAGTATTTGTCCTTTCTATTCAACAACATGACATGAATTCAGCTATAACGGGAACTGTGCTTAAAGGTTCTCCCTGGGCCGCTAAACAAACTGCTGAGTGACAGCGCCCACAAAATCCCTTACAGCAGCCGTTCACATGAAATGACTCTATCATACAAGTTGACTCAAGCCCAACCTAGCTTGGTAGCGTGGGTATCCTTACCAAAGGCATTTAAAAATGTTTGAAGAACTGTTCTAAATCCAACGGGTTGGCTCACAATTAAACTAAATAAATGACTCTTCAACTCAATCAGAAAACTGAGCAGCTGACATAAGGGTTTGGTGACAGGAAGCAGCCCTCCCAGGCTCGGTTGTGGGTACAGCTCACTTGGAGCTCGGAAAGGTGAGCTGGTGAGGAAGAGCAGCGCCGGACGCATTCGGATGATTCTGGGCTCACAGGTGGACACAACTGGCTTCCGGGGGGTTCGTCCTCCCACGCCTCTCAGCCATGTCCCCTCTTCACCGGCCCCTGAGATCCTTTTTTCAATCCTCACCCGCGGATATTCTCCCACTGATGTTTAGCGAGACGGGAAGGGAGGGGGGAGGGGGAGAGAGAAACACTGAAGTGAGAGAGACACATCGATCGGTTGCCTCTGGCAAGTGCCCCCAACCAGGGCCAGGGATGGAGTGTCCACTCAAGGTCTGAGCCCTGGACCAGAAATTGAACCCTCAACCCTTGGGCCCACAGGCCGACGCTCTAACCACGAAGTCCAAGCGGCCAGGGAAACCTGACCCCGTCAACACCGAGTTCCCAGAAATGTTCACAGGGGCTCCGGGAAGGGAGGTCTAACGTGGATGCGCTGGGTGGGGTGCGGACCGTGAGTCAGACGGAGTGAAACAGGGTCCCTTTTCAAACAGGGTCCCTTCTGTACAGCGCTTCCTGGAGGGTCGCACGCACCGCGGAACTCTGGGAAAGGACCTAGTGTGTGCCTTCCCCAGGCCCAGCTGCCTGGAAGGTGCTTCTGGCTGAGCTGCCCATGCTCATGCTCCACATCAGGCTCTGGGAACCGCCCGCTGCTGATGCCGGCGGGAGTGTCTGCCAGCTGCCAGGAAACCAACCCCCACGTCGGCTTTCTCTCCAGGCTCTGCTCAGTGGCGGTCCCCCAGCAGGAGCGCCTTCCCGGGGGAGGGACAGCGCCTTCCCGGGAGAGGGAGGGCACCTGGACTCTGAGGATGAGAGGGCCAATCTCAACACTGCACGCACCTGCAGGTGGCTTCCAGCCGGCGTCCCGCTGCTGACGAGAATAAATGAACTGGAATGCCGCCTTGGGCACGTGGCCCACACACTCACGTTAGGGCAACGATTTCCAACCTTTCTCATCTCCTGGCACACGTAAGCTAATTACTAAAGTTCTACGGCACACCAACAAATATATTTTTGGCCGGTCTGACAAAAAATAGGTATAATTTGGATGGATTTACCAAAAAAAAAAAAATAGTAATTACCCACCCTTTTTGCTCCAAAGTGACTTTTTAAAAACTCAGGTGCCTATACCTGATTTAAGAATTTCTGGTACCCAGAATTAACCCATCAGACGCAACCTTCTTACGCAACGTGACCAACGAGATGCAACTCTGCTACATGACCTGTACATTTATGGTTTAAGGCGGGGCATTCACGCCGGATGGCTATGGTTGTATTGGCTGTTGTCATTTTTTTATCTAACCATCTGAGAGAACAACAGAGGCCCGTGCCCCTCACCAGTCAGGCATCGCCTGTTGTAAAAATTCTTGCAGCCCACTGGTTGAACACTGCTGCTTCAGCCTCTGAGCAAACCCCAAGTCACAAACAGGAACCAATGAGCACCAAGCATGTACGCAGGTCCCTGAAGTCCCCAGGCCTCCGGTGACTCCCTCTGGAGGGCTGGCAGGTGTGGTGCAGGGAAGCAAACCATCTCGCGGAGCCCGGGAGCTGTGGGGGGAGATGGGGCGCTTCTGCACTGGCTAGAGGTCGGTCTTCCTGCAGTTTGCTTTCTGTCTAATGCCAGGGGTCCACACAGCTCCTGTGGCGGTCTGTGACGGCTGGTTTCTGCTGTCTCTTTTAAAGACGATAATCGAGAAATGTCTGCCTTGTCATCTTGGCAATGCCAGGAACAGGTCTTGTCATCTTCGAAAGGCCTGTCCTCCAAAGGGTACTGTCCCTTAACATCCTCCCCCCCCACCCCCTGTGTAAAGGGCCTGGGTGACACTTCCCATTGTCCTCAGGGTTCACCTAAAAGCTGGTAACGTGTACGTACATACTGCTGTTGCCCAGTTCAGGCCAACCTGACCTCAGTTATGGACAAAGAGTTTATATTCTACTACATTTTTTTAATCCTCAGATGAGGATATGTTTTTATTATTTCAGTGAGAGAGGAGGAGAGAGAGAATCATTGATATGGGAAAGAAACACCTATCGGTTGCCCCTGTAAGCACCCCCCAGGGATAGAACCCCCAACATAGGTGTGTGCCCTGACCAGGAATCAAACCCTTTGGTGTACGGGATGGTGCTCCAATCAGCTGAGCCACCAGGCCAAGGCTCTATTATCTGTTATATTTTTTGACTTCTTGGTGCCACATGTCCCTCTATCCACCAACCCAAACTGGAACTCTTCTTCTGGTTACTTTAGGAATTTTCTTTCTAGACTTTCTAGCTTTCAAGTTCAGGCAGGCTGCCTTCCCAGACAATTCCTAACACCCTGTGATATCTGGCCTCCACTCCCCTGAATCACCCTCCCCTCCCAACTCTGCAGCTTGGCCTCTGAAGCAACCCCCAGACTCTCTTCCTCTTCCTCTGCGCTCCTAGAGGCATTCTTTGCCCCCATTCCCACCTGCATCTTCACATATGTATATTCTCTTTTCTTGCCCTGAAAATGTTGCCTATCTTTCTATCCATTATACTATTAGAAGACTGAAAGCCTTTATTGGCAAAATAACTGTCCCAAAAACTGGTGTACACACACACACACACACACACACACACACACACACTTTCAATGAAAAGGTGCTTTCTTTTAGATAAGTTAACAAATTGTATTAAAAGTCCAGGTCAGGCTGCTCGTTTATTTCCGGGATTACTGAGCTCACTATGGCCCCACACCTCACAGGTCAGATACGTGACCACTGAGGTCTCTGGAAACCCTTTTCTGGCCAGGATGGATTCCAGGGGCAAAATGACATGGCGGGCGAGGGGGTCAACTCTGGTGGCTGCTGAAATTAATTTGGCATCTCAGAGACCTTTTAATGGACAAAATAAAATGGAAACAGTTCTCTTAGGATCACTGCTGATTAAAAAAAAGGCATCAGGAACAGATCTTTAGAATCTGAATTTGACTTATAGCAGGTGGCTGTTAAATTGTACATAAATACAAACCCACAATAACTACTGAGACATAAAAGTGGGTTAAGTTATATTGAAATTACGAATCACTTTTACTAACTTTAAAATCACTTAAGCCCTGGCCAGTGTGGCCCCATTGGCTGAATGTTGTCCCATGCACCAAAAGGTCGCTGGTTCGGTTCCCACTCAGAGCACACATCCAGGCTGCAGGTTCAATCCCCAGCTGGGATGTGTACAGAAGGCAACCAACCAGCCTTTCTCTCTCACATCCCTGTTTCTTTCTCTCTCTCTCTCTCTCTCTTTTTCTCTCTCTCCCTCTCTCCCTTCCTCTCTCTAAAATAAAAACCTGTTAAAAATAAAATAATAAAATCGTTTAAGTAAGTCAGATGTAATTTTTAAATACAGCTCAAGGATACTTAGATCTAAGTTCTCTATAAAAATTTCTGTGTTCAGATTCTTAACTACCTTCAAGAACTCTAATACTGGGCTCGTTTTAATAATTTATTTTTGGAAGCCAGGATTAAGAGTCATTTTCTCCCAAACAAAGACTCACTGTCTAAAGGAGACAACTCATAATTGTTTTCCTGACACAACACTGGGTCTCTGCCTTAGGTAGTTTGAGAGATATTAATTTCTTTAGAGAAAGGAGTAAGCCAGGAAAGATAAGCTGCAAGACCCAACATGGTTCAGAAGACTGTTTTCATGATGTTGCGTCACGCTGGACACGGGAAACAAAAGTGACCTCACAAAGCTTTCTCCTTTACCTCCTGTTAGTTCTCCTCTACTAAAGTCCGAATAAATTTGAACTTTTATTTAAAGGCTTAGATATTTTTCCAATCAAAACTTTATGCGATACTATCCATGAACAAAAACACTCTGCTTCTGAGGAGGATCAATAATTCTCACCCTCCACATCTCCAAGTCTAGGTTTTGAATTAT